AAGATGTCTCGAGGTTCCGCTTTTGCTGAAGCTGTCAAAGAGATGCCCCTGTGCTTCTGTGAAATAAAGTGTTTGAATTCCACTTTCCTTGACTCTGTGTGATTCATTGGCCCATCACGCCTAGTGAATGAACCAGGGACGGGTTCCAAATCCCATCGCTACTGGTTTGCTCGTGTGCGCAGCGCTTCTGTGCATGCACAGAAGCGTCCGGATGGGTGGCCGGAGCTTCCCACCGCCGCCGCTACCAGTTCTCCAGATCCGGTGCGAACCGATAGCAACCCACCACAGGAATGAACCCAGTATTGGCACTAGGCCAATACTTTGGAGATGCCTCCTTCTGTTCTAGGTTTTAATGCTTAAATGACTTTACCAAAAGAATCAGGTTAAAAGAAGGTAAACATAATTTTATTTTTTTCATGTTTTATTTTATACAACTCAAACAATATCCATAATTCTCTCTACTGTTTTTTCCACAACAGTCCTATGAGGTGGGTTGGGCTGAAAGAGAATGACTGGTTCAAAATTCATAATTTTTCTTTCATTCTAATCTTCCTTTAGATTAGAATTCAGGCTTCCACTTTCTGGTCAAGAACCTTAACCATTGTACTAAACTGGCTGTCATCTTGTTAACAACAAAAAGACTCCAATTTTATTCAGATGCTGTGCGAATGTATCCTAACCACACATGCTGTGCAGTGGTGAAATCAATTTTTTTTACTACCGGTTCTGTGGGCGTGGCTTGGTGGGCATGGCAGGGGAAGGATACTGCAAAATCTCCATTCCCACCCCACTCCAGGGGAAGAATACTGCAAAATCCCCATTCCCTCCCCACTCCTGGGGGAAGAATACTGCAAAATCCCCATTCCCTCCCCACTCTGGGGCCAGCCAGAAGTGGCATTTGCCGGTTCTCCAAACTACACAAAATTTCCGCTACCAGTTCTCCAAACTACTCAAAATTTTCACTACCGGTTCTTCAGAACCTGTCAGAACCTGCTGGATTTCACCCCTGATGCTGTGCATTAAAAGCCATCTGGAAGATGTCTGAATCCCACTCTCTCATGTTGCAGCTTCTTTTCTATTTTCATGTGGTTATTTTGCTAGAGGGAAAAGGTTCTTGATCAGCCATTTCTTCAAGCAGGGTCTGGCTCTGAAAAGGATTAAAAGTAGTCCTGTCTGGGCCCAAAAGACAAGCCCCTTGGCTGGGGGTTGAGCCTGACCTCTAATCAGCAGTGATAACAGAAAGATGAAAGGCAAGAGTAAAATCATACTGTATGTTTATTCCTTTTCTGCTGCCACTGCAACAGGAATTACCTTGAGATATGTGAGGGTCTAGGCAGCAAAATATGGACAACCACTAGATAACCAAGTGGTTATGTTTTCTGTACTGCTGCTTATGCCCTCCAATGCTCTGAATTCCCACAGTCCAGCTAAGAAGGAGAAGCAGCACTTGCTGGGGAAGCTGTCATGGTTTCCAAGGATTCCACTCAAGGGTTGGCTGATCCGGCAGTGCCATCAGAGCTACAAATAGTAACAGGAGCAGTAGTGGTTGCTCTTCTCTCAGTCATACTCTCCTTTGTACTGGATACTATTGCTTCTTTTGGGGTCCCATTACTAGTATGCTACCAGGTTGAAAAATCAGATATAACTGTTAAAACAAGCTACAAAAAAACTGTCTTGCTGCCATCTAGTGGTAAAGTAGAGTTTGCAGCCAAGATAAAATGTCCATATCTTCTGAAGGTAGAGCAAGGAATGGACAGGAGTTGACATCCCTGTGTCTATGCTCTTCATTTATTTATTTATAAAATTTATTGGCAGCCCATTTTACCATACGTCAACTTTCAATCAAATAAGTTAAAACCATTAATTAAAATCCTTAAAAAGGTAGGGAGGGCAGCGGCAGGGGGGAGGTGGGAATCTGTTGTTAATTAACCACTACCACCATTATGCTGTTCTCTTTTGGGCCTGCAGGCTAACTGCCAGAGCCAGGTCTTGAGGCCTTACAAAAGGATAGGAAGCAGGGGTGAAATCCAGCAGGTTCTGACAGGTTCTGGAGAACCGGTAGCGGAAATTTTGAGCAGTTCGGAGAACCAGTAGTGGAAAATTTGAGTAGTTTGGAGAACTGGCAAATACCACCTCTGGCTGGCCCCAGAGTGGGGAGGGAATGGAGATTTTGCAATATCCTTCCCCTAAAGTGGGGTGGGAATGGAGATTTTGCAGTATCCTTCCCCTGCCACGCCCACCAAGCCACACCCACCAAGCCACACCATGCCCACCAAGCCACGCCACAGAACCGGTAAAAAAATTTGGATTTCACCACTGATAGGAAGGTTGGGGCCAACCCCACATCGAGGGGTAAGATGTTCCAGAGGGCAGGTCCAACAGCAGAGAGGCTCAATTGTGGTCGTAAATTCAGGACTACCTGTATATCCAATTTTCCCCACAACAATTCTTTGAGCTAGGTTGGGCTGAGAACGAGTGACTGGTCCAAAGTCACCCCAGTGGTTTATAGGCCAGCACCTTAACCACTATATTGCTTTAAATTGAAAATAATTGTATAACATCATCCCACCATCTCAACAGACTTACTAAAGACTACATAAGTGATAATCATGCTGGAAAATAATCACTTTTGATTTAGGCAGCCAACAAAGAGCCTGACACCATGCAGAAAAAAAATGCAGAAAGGAAGGAGGGGGTCAAGGGTTGTTCACAGGGATAAAGTACTAAGTTTGTTTTCAGAGTATAAAAATCAGGTGTGAAGAATATACATAAATAAGGTGCAGAAAATATGAATTTACAAATGCAAAAGGCATCTGCTAGTCTAAGAACAGAAGAATGTCTAAGTAGAAAATATTATTTTTAATGAAATGTTAGGGATGCCTGTTGCTTATAACATACTCTGAGAAACTACATAACTAAACAGATGCATTTGAGTTTATTTTTTATAGCCATCAACCTCCAGGTCTGCCCAATGAATTTCAGTACATCTGTTCTCGCAAGAATAACCGATGAGATGTCACACATCCTGCTAAGAGAGGCTTTTAAAGAATTGTTATTTTAAGAATTATGTTGCTATCCAAAAAAATTATCATGCCTTTAACTGTATTTGATTACTTTGCAAAGACCAAGCAGAAAAAATAAGTTCTTTTTTTAATCCGACTTTTTAAAAACATTATTTTCATTTAAAATAGATAAGAAGTTGATATGTTGCAAAGCAACAATTATCCATTAGCATTATATTTATTTAAAATAATGCCGTTCTATTTTACAAAGGTTCTGTAAATATTCTTAGAAAACAAACTTTATTCCCCACATAGCCAGAAAATGGGTAAAAGTAAATCCGGGGGCACTGGAGGTGGTGGTGACAGGGGTGAAATTCAGCAGGTTCTGACAGGTTTTATAGAACTGGTAGTGAAATTTTGACTAGTTCAGAGAACCGGTAAATACCACCTCTGACTGACCCCGCCCCCATCTATTCTCTGCCTCCTGAGTCCCAGCTGATTGGGAGAAAATGGGGATTTTGCAGTAACCTTCCCCTGCCATGCCTACCAAGCCACGCCCACCAAGCCACACCACGCCCACCAAGCCACACACACAAAACCGGTAGTAAAAAAATTTGGACTTTACCACTGGGTGGTGAGCAATCTCACTCGTTTGCCTTGTGCAAATGGAAGTTGTGTCATTGGCCACACTATTCACAGTAGTAGTTTTGCGACAGCAGCCATGATCTGCTTTCAAAATTCCATATGTACCTCCCAAAATTTGCTTACTTCTGGTTTGATTCTCTTGTTTCCCAACACCATGATCTATTCTCATGACCAAGGTTTGTGCTATGGACTAGAGGAAAACTGTTCTGTTTCTATTCTCCGACTTGAGAGTTCTTATTGCCTGACAAAAACATCCTGAAATGTTTTCATCTGAAAATGTTCTCTTTCCCTTTTCAGGTATAAAGCTAACCAGATTTGAAGTTGACTTTTATTATGGGCAAAAAGGCAGGCACGTGTTATAATCCACACTGGGAAGTGGATATTTTCTTTCACTGTATCTAAAGGCAGCTAGCTAGCTGAGGGGTAAAGCACATTCTGTGTGACCCATACAATTGTGTCCTCCAAAATTTTATTCTTGTAAAGTCACTGTCTCACTATGTCTAATCCCGTAGTGGGTTTCAAAATTTTTTACTACCGGTTCTGTGGGGATGGCTTGGTGGGCGTGGCATGGCTTGGTGGGTGTGGCATGGTGGGTGTGGCAGGGAAGGATAGTGTAAAATCTCCATTCCCACCCCACTCCTGGGAAAGGATACTGTAAAATCTCCATTCCATCCCCAATCCAGAGGAAGGTTACTGCAAAATCCCCATTTCCTTCTGATCAGCTGGGACTTGGGAGGCAGAGAATAGACGGGGGGCGGCGGCAGTCAGAATTTTTACTACCGGTTCTCCGAACTACTCAGAATTTCCACTACCAGTTCTCCAGAACTGGTCAGAACCTGTGAAACCCACCTCTGGTATAATCCTATAAATCTCAGAGCCAATTCAGCAATGGAGATTTCTACAGGTGGTCCTCAACTTACAACCATTCATTTGTGACTGTTCAAAGTTACAATGGCACTGAAAATAGTGACCAGTTTTTACACTTAAGACTTAAGTTGCAGCATTTCCATGGTCACGTAATCAAACTTAAGGTGCTTGATAACAGGCATTTATTTGTGACAGATGGACTGTCCCTGAGTTATGTGATCCCCATTTGTAACCTTCCCAATTGGCTTCTAAAAAGCAAAGTCAACGTGGGAAATCAAATCCACTAAACAACTGCATGATTTGCTTAATAAAACTGTGGCAAAAAAAAGTTCATAAAATTGGGCACAACTCACTTATATTTTCAAAACTTTGAAAATGTTAGGCTTACTGGTTTGGCATATTTCATTTAAAACTTTTTATTCCATGCATATTAACTTTATGTGCTATATAAATATCTCATTGAGTTGAAATGATGAATTAAAGAAATAGAAACCAATAAAGCAAATTTAATGGAGTTAAACTATTACATTCAAACAACTTTTGGAGCTCTATTTTCAATAATAGTTTAGAGACATGACAGTTTGTTAGCAGGCAATTCCCTTGGCTTGTTTAAGAAGGAAAATGAAAGCACTGAATATAGCAACTGCTTCTAAATACTGCTAGTTGGTGGCCTTCTGACTGTAACAACCAAGTCGAAAAGCCTTTCAATGGTGCTGCTTATGACCTGATTTTTCTGGAAAGAAAAACAAAGAATGCTGTTATTATTCAGAGACAAGTAAGTGTTTTGCTCCTTTGGGGTGTTCGTGGCATAATTTTTGCTTTGCTGTATTTACTTTCCCTAAGTTTGTTCCACTACGTCTGTTTTGATACTTAATATTAGCAAACAATTGTATTGTTCAAATGTTCCTGCAAATTTTACATGATATTGTAGTACTGTATTATTTTAAGTTTTGTAAGCTACTTGCAGCTTCTACTTTTCTTTAGTAGAAACATGGCTTGATATGGTTTTAATAATAAATAAATTTAATTTGAGAGCTAGCTTGTGAAGGGGTGAAACACACCATGCTAGAAACTCAGAGATTGAATATTCTGGTTCTGTCATAGACACAAAGCTATTCAGATGACTTTGGGTGAGTCCCTTTCTTTTAACGCTAGGAAGGAAGAAGGCAACAGCAAGCAATTCTTGAAAGCATTGCTTAAAAAGTTTATAAAAATGTATCTATGCAGCATCCAGGAACCAAGAGTGACTTGAAAGTACAAAAAAACCTTCCTAACTTTAATAAACTGTACAATATGTTCATTAATATATCGTACAATACACTCATTTTACAATATGCTCATTTTATGATCTTTAGTGACAAGCCACATATTATATAATTTACATTATTTATTAAATAAATATTTTAATGGTATTTATTAAATAAATAATAAGTAATGTAATTATTGCATAACTTTCATGCTTATTTTTTAACAATAATAGCATATTGAAGAATTGAAAAAGTAATCGCCAGTGCCAGATTTAGGTATAAACTAAATAAACTACAGTTTAGGGCCCACAATCCTTTAAAATTTCAGTTTGGGCTTTCTTTCTTTCTTTCTTTCTTTCTTTCTTTCTTTCTTTCTTTCTTTCTTTCTTTCTTTCTTTCTCTTTTTTTGCTTTTAAAATTCTATGTGACTTTTCATGTATACCGTAGTTTGTAAAAACTTGTGTAACAAGTTTTTATGTGTAGTTTAAAAGGCTTTAATATAATTAATTTAATATTCCCAGAAAGCGTTAAGCTGTGTAACGTATCACTTAAGCAGATAATTCATGGTTTGCTTTTGAGAAATAAAGAAATGAAATGTTTTAAGTTGCACATGATATCAGTTTTCTGATTTTGCAGACTAATTCATTATTCCTTATATTAACAAAAGGGATTGCGATTACTTGTTTTGTCAGCAAAATAAGTAATAATCTATTTTAAATTATTTTTAAAATTACAATTAACTGTTATTTCTAGGTTATACTACATTATATCCTATGGGAGAGATTAAGCAAACCAAATGATAAATATATAAGCAATAAATATTTACTTGAAAATAATTTGCATTTTTCACTTAAATACCGTGTTATTAAATAAATAAAAAGCGTATACACATTTTCAATTTTTTTGTGGTGGCTCCTGGTTTGGTGTGAACTTTTGTGATATGTTTCTGTATCTTGTCTCATGTAAGTTTGTATTAAGGAACCTCCGAGCTTTATGTAGTTTAGGGCCTTACCAAGTGTAAATCTGACATGGTAATGACTGATTTTAGACTTTTTAAGGAAAATCTGTTCAAAGGATATTATAAAAATGTACAACACAAATGCCTAGTTAACTGTGGTTTCATAATGTGCTTGATGATCTCATGTAATTTAATTGATACCTGTGTTGGCCCATCCCAATGCTGTTTTGTGTTACCCAGAGTGATGGGCCAATAAATTCAAGCAGGGTAGACAAAAGTGGAATTTAAGCTGTACTATGTCTGCAGTGGTTAACATGACATGAAATTAAAAAGGTGTATCGTGACACAGAAATTCTGTTGCTGCAAGTTATATACATTTTTCTCACCCCATTTAATTTTGACACTGCCCCCTAAATAAATGTCCTCATTTTAAAACATTAAATATCTGCTGTGCTAAGTCTGCAGTTGTCAAAATGACCCTGGGAAAATTTTATCTATTCTACATAATACTTTGGTATCATCAGATTCTGAGTTATGCATCTCGAGTCTTCTTCGTATTCTGGAAATGCTTCCAGTGGTGATGTCAGAATCTGTAAATAGAAATAGTATATAATTAAAATGCTGGATTTTGTGGAGTTTGATATTCAAATCATGAAGCTGAGGACAATAACGAAGTTCAGAGCTTCTTAAAAGAGGCAGGGAATCAGAAATTTATAAGACAACCTCACATTAGACTTTTCTATAATATTGGAGAAGATACTGTAAGCAAGCCCTCAAACTTTATATGACTATTTTAAGCAGCAATAAAGAAAAAAGGGATTTTAAGATTCTTTATTACTTTTCCATTTATCACAATCTTTACTTGTTTAAGTAGAATTATTCTTCATTTAGTGTAAATGGAAAGCTCAGGCTGTTCTTAGTTAATTCATGAACAAGTAAGTTGAGCAAATATTTATTATTATTATTATTATTATTATTATTATTATTATCTCTTTTATTCATTAAACATGAAACTCAGTCAACTGAACATTTAAAATGTGTCACAAATACGATTGACTGGTGCTAATGGTTGATATGGGTTGCTGCCAGCATCCTAGGTATCAACCAAGTATCTTCTTAAAATATATGATGTTCTGAGTAGCACAGTTTTTTGCAGTTCCGCTGGTGTTATTGTAGGAAGCTGCACTTTCTTGATGTGTTTTGTAAAATTCTTGGTCATGGTACCAAGTGCCCCAATGACAATGGGTATCACTGTTATATGTTTCATCCATAGCCATGTAGTTTCGATGGCCAGGTCGCGATATTTTGTGATTTTTTCCAGTTCTTTTTCTTCAACTCTGGCATCTCCTGGTACAGCGATATCAATAAACTGTATGCTTCGGCCCTCAACTACGGTGACACCTGGCATGTTATGTTCCAAATGACGATCCGTCTGTATTCAAAAGTTCCACAAGATCTTCACTGTCTCATTTTCAATAACTTTTTCCACTTTGTGTTCCCATGACTTTTCAGAGGATACAGGTATGTCATATTTTTTACATAATGACCAGTGGATTAATTTAGCAACTCGTCCACTGGATCAATATTCCTATTCCTATTCCTATTCCTATTCCTATTCCTATTCTTATTATCTCTTTTATTCATTAAACATGAAACTCAGTCAACTGAACATTTAAAAATGTCTGGTACTAATTGACTGGTACTAATGGTTGATATGGGTTGCTGCCAGCGTCCTAGGTATCAACCAAGTATTATTATTATTATTATTATTATTATTATTATTATTATTATTATTATTATTTTGGAGACAGGCATTTGTATCAAAAGAGATTTCCAGATTAATTATACTAGTGGCATAAACACTTTGGTGTTTGATATAAGATTCAACGGATCTGAAACATTCAAAGATTATTTTGTAAAGTGTTAGAAATAAGGGCACTTTTGAAAGATTCCAGTAGACTTGTGTTTTGTGAGTCGAGAGAGAATAAAGCCTATAACCCTTTGTAATCCTTTGTAATGGAAAGGATTTCATTCTTCTCTAGTCAGGTAGAATTTTTTTTCCCCCTTCTATTAATTGTTTAGTCTTAGAGGATATCATAAGCTGTTCTACTCTTCCCTATTTTTCCCCAAGAGGAAATTCTGGCAATAAATAGAAAGCAAGATATATTTCTATTCCAGACAGTTTTTTAAAAAATACTTATTTTTTGCTCCTCTATTTCCACCATATATATATTTTATGCAATGTGTATGCTTCTTTTTAACAAAACAAATTTATTTGTGAGATCCTGTCTTCGTTTTAAAAAAAATCTGATCCTGCTGCCATTCAGTGTTTCTAATGCAGTGAAAGAAGATATCATGCTATTAATTTCATAAGCTAGAGAAAAGCTGTTTCAATAGGGTATGTGACAGTGATTGGCTTTAGTTTTTGTGGTTTACTTTAATTATTTTTGTAAAACATTCGATCTGGATTGTTAAAACTGAGAGTACTTCAGCGGCTGCCCTGACTTTCATGATGCCAAAATGTCTTATGTACCACAATAGCAGAGATAAGCCTATGAATAAAAAGAATGTCAGAAATAACAACAAACAAAAAGCAGCATCTTAGCTTAAGAAGCGGGCATGCAGTTTGGAATTCTACAGTGAATTCAGCCTGATTGTGGCCAATCTGCTTGTTTTTTTTCCCCCTGCCATAGGGAGCATGTATTAGTATATATCTCTTAAGTCATCTTAGTATTTTATAGGTTATTTTATGGTTTTTTTTCCAAGAGTAACATTTATGGTCATTCTCCATGGCATAGAACAATGCAAAAGACTGTGAGTCTTCATTTTCTAGCAGGCGCTGATTTTAGGAACTCTTAAGGATGGAAAGGCGTTTTGAAGCATAAACTGTATTGCAAAATAGCTTCCGTTTATGCGTTGCAGATATATTTAGCTATATCTTTAGCTGTAACCTTGCTTGTGGTTAAGCAGGGTGCAACACAGATGTAAACAGCTGATTCTGCAGCCGGACCTGATGTGCCTGTGATTTTGTCAATAGGCTCAGCATTTCAGTAATCCACTGCAGAATTAGTGCTGTAGCAATGGTGGTCTCGCCTCTTACATGCCTAACAACAACAGCCACAACAGAGTAAAATATTTGTCGTCAAGAAAATATCAAAACAGAACAATAGTACTACAGAGCTAGGACCTAATACGTACTATGTGAAATCTTCATTCATCAAGAAGGGTATTGTGGCGGATTTTCTTTCCGATCCTCTTTTTTTCTTTAAAAAAAAAAAAAGAATCTTCTGTTTTTCTCAGTAGGAGATGGCTGTGGTCAGTAGAAAGGGATCTGCAGACAGGTTTTTGCCAGAAAATCTGCCATACTTCAAGGCTGCATTGATGAAGAAACTGGAGCTTTGCTGAACACAGCATAGTAACAATTTACCTTGCATCATCAGTTGATGGCAGGGTTTTTTCTCTCCCCCCCCCTCTTCTCCTTTGTTCCCTCCCACACGGTTGCTCTAAGACAGAGCATATTTGCAATGTCACTTAACAACATTAATCAGATACTGCGTTTAAGGTGAGCTGTCCCTTGCCTTTTCTCGTAGTGGATCTGTGCTGCTGTGGCTGTCTCTGTCTCATTCTGTTTGGAAGCCTAAAATGGCAGGCAGGATTAATGCAGCTTCTGCTGCCTGCATGGTCTCGAGACTGAATTCATTACACCATGCCTAGTATTTCTAAAGGGAGCATGTAAATGCTCTGTGTGCCATATCATCCCATAGCAAGGGCTTGTTCTTCCTAATGGAGATTGCTGTATAAGCAGGCATTTTCAGAATTCAATGTCATTTTCTGTACGGTTAGTTAATAGCTCACTTCAAAACCAGCATTGGTTCTATTGTTATTACGATTATTTTAAAAAAGAATTAAGCGGATGCTGCTTCCAGTTGGTGTCACCCTTTGCCTTGGCTGCTCTTTAAATAATGTATGTTGTATTGCTAATTAATGGCAATATCAAATTAAACCCTTCGAAACTGACGTGTTTCTTATAAAGCCCATGCAATCTATTTTTAACTCTTACTGCGTAAGAGGTGTGCATAGGGCTTTTGGGTTGCTGAGTTTTTCTTTTCAGCAAGGGCAATCATCCTGGGCTGATGTTCAAGCAGATGTGACAAGGGGCCTTTGCAGTCAGTGGTCATCTTCAAGCCTTGAACCTTCAGAAAAGGAGAGGAAAGTCCTGTGCTGCAGCTTTAAAAACAAACTAGCACCTTTCATCACCACCTTGGATGAGAAGATCTCTCCGCATTCCACATCTCTTCTTTCCATTGATAAATTCAGCTATCTTGGTCACAGTCGGTTCAAGCAAGGTGTTTTTGAAAACAGCTTCTTTTTTCCTTTAGGGTCGTTGTTGTTTTTTAAATAGTCAAGCTTTCACGATCTCTCCATTGCTTTAAACAAGAATGGCTGAGTGCACTGCCATGCTAAGACTTAATTAAACCACATAAACAGGTAGGTGAAGATTTGCATGTTTTTTTTCCCAATTGTTATTCCACAAAGGAAGAATATGAAAATATAGACACTGAGCTGATAAGCTATTAAATAAATATATTTGGTAATGAGGTACTTCTAAAATATTTTCTTTGCATTTATTCAAGAGACAATTTTGTTAGTTTAAAAACATACCTCTTCCAAAATTGACAATAGCATTTCTGCTAGGTAATCGGGGCGTGGCATCGCTTATGCAATAAAAGACTTTTTCAAAAGCTCGACAATTTTAAAAGATTTGAAAGTCAGCTATGAAAATGAATAGGCTTTTTGCTAAGATACAAACGTCTAAGTTGTGAATATAGCTGTGATAAAAATTAAAAATATTCAAATTTTGTGCTAAAAAAGCGGTCTTTTGGCATTTATCATAAAAACTAACTTAATATTTATTATTCTTTTATAAAGATCGCTGACATAAAGTAAGGATAACTTAAATATTTTTTTTCTTTTTGAGATGTCAGCTATTTTTTAAAAGATTAGCACCTATATGTATTCCTTTCCCTTTGAAATGAATGTGAATTAGAATTGGATTTACTTAGCAAATTAAAACAAAATGTGTAGATATCCTAATCTGTAAATTAATTTTTAAATCATTTTATAGACATATAACGTACACTAACATAGCTGCTTTATAATATAGTTGCTTCACATCAATATTGGGCCAACCTGTTACCTTGGTAACCAAATTCTGTTAAAGGATGCAATAACAGAGCTGCAAAGGCATTTATTATTGTTTATTATTCCTCAGTGCAAATGATTATTTTATAACATTTTTACATGGCTATGATTTTTAACTGACTGGAAATTTTAGCCTGTAACTGTAATATTTTCTGTGATCTTAACTTGATTACTTAAGCAATGCAACAACGCTAGTTATGTTCTCACTAAAACATAGTATGAAGGAATCCACTATGACACAAATGTAGAATATTTATTTATACTTAAAACAGGTTCAATACTAAATTTAAAAACAGTGAAAACTATAAATTGATTTAAAGCTTTCTTCTCTCATTATTTCTTTTAGCATCAATTTTACAGATTTTTATTACCTACCCGTAACTTAATCTGACATTTTAAGCAAACTGAACATCTTGTACAATTAAATATATGAGGTGAAAGCTGTAATGATGCAGTTTGTAATTTATTATAACACTATGCAAGATGAAGTTGACAACAATATAACATGTAATGAAGAGCAGCTTATCTGATATTTTTAATAGTATCTGTAAAATTAAACCTAAGGGTGAAAGGTATTACTTTTATAAATATTTCTCCACTTTTGATATAGATACTTTAGAACATGCAGTCTAAATGAAGCACAGCTCTTTGTAAAGATATTTTCAGCATAGAAGCCATCTTTTCAAATGCTTAACTTCAAAATAATCCAAGATTATCACATTCAGCACTCAATATAGATATTTAGTGGCAGTATTAAGAAATACAGTTCCATCAGGCACAGGTATTTACAGCAAATGAAAACAGCAAATGACAATATTAATTGGATAAGATAGCAATATTTTTGTCTCAGAAAAATACTAATAAAACCTGTTTTAAAATGAAGCCGTAGAATATACATATTACAGTACTCAAAAAGATGTAAATGGATGAATGCACTAAAATCAGGCATTTTTATTCACTTTCGAATAATTCTTTCAAATGCTAACTTTTAGTACAAAGATTGTGATAGGATTGATTGCATTTTTTTAGGATGAATTATTTTGATCGTTTACTTTAGAAAATACAATGTATTTATCAGGTCCTTGATAGTGTTAGGAACATTATTATTCATTTTATTCATAGATTTTTGTTTCCCTTTTAATAAATCTTAGACATCATTCTATGTCATTGTATTAAGCATTTCTACAGGATAGCTGGAAAATAAGGATTTATGGAGCGCTTCTTGGTTTTCATTTCATTTCATCTTTGAAGAACAAATGATAGTGTCAGAAAAAATGCAGTTCTCTTTAGCTTTCATAGGGCTACTAGCTCTAAATTACAGAAATCCAGATTACCGTTAGATGGCAGCAAGAGTTTTCTGTACCTTTATACTGCCGTATCTAATGTTTATCCTGATTTTTGCAGTCCAGATAGGTTTGTTGATATGCATTGCTGATTCTCATTTTTTAAATATTACCAACCAATTACTATCCATTTTCCCATCTGTTCTTTTTTTCCCCTCAACCATTTTAGCCCATAGTAATACCAATGACACTGTTAAATCATGTAATAATGTGATTTGCTTATTTATGTCTTTGGATGCTATTTGTGTGAACCCAGTTACTGAAGTTTATAAACCACATCTTATGACCTAGTATGAGGTGTGAATTATATAGCTTATATAACAGACCGTGATATACAAAATCGAGGCAAAGTGCCGGTATGATAAGTGAACCAAAATATTGGCATGAATTATGTTCCTCCAAAAGGCTATAAATATCTATTCACAATTGACCTCAAAATTTCTGTTGCTAAGTGAGACATTTGTTAAATGAGTTTTGCCCCATTTTGCAACTTTTCTTGCCACATTTGTTAAGTGAATCACTGCAGTTGATAAGTTAGTAATCCAGTTGTTAAGTAAATCTGGCTTTCCCATTGACTTTGCTTGTCAGAAGGTCACAAAAGGTGATCACGTAACCTTGAGACACAGCAACAGTCATAAATATGAACCAGCTGCCAAGCATCTGAATTTTGATCACATGATCATGGAGATACTGCAAAGGTCGTAACTGTGAAAAACTATCATATTTTAAAGTCAAATTTTTCAGTGGCGTTGTAACTTTGAACGGTCATTAAATTAACTGTTGTAAGATGATGACTACCTGGAACCTTCCTGATAATTTGATCAAGGAACTGTTATTAAGACAATTACCACAAAACTATACATATATGGTACAGTTAATGAAACTTGATGATGAAATTCCCTTGAGAATATAATTGCCAAACTGGAAATATGCAAGTACGTGCAACTGAAGGGAATTCTCTAAACAATATCAATGTATTCCATCATTACTATAATGAAAGATGATGTATTTAAAAAGAAAACACATTAAAAGAGAAAGCAGACTTTACAGAAATAAGCATCCATACAACAGAAAGAGATAATGAGATGGAATGTCCTAAAAGAAAAGTCAAGCCTTCAGAAGGATTACAAAAAAATGATGTACGGAAAGAAAAACAATATTTATATTATCAAATATAAATTGCTTATTTGAAATTAGACAAGATTTTGAAAGGACTTTTTTTTATATATATAGTGGTGCATCAAGTCAATAAATCTGATTGATGAATCTTATGAGAAAAAGATTAATTTAGTACATGCTGAAAAGGCAGTATTAAGCTGAAATGATCAGTAAATCATAATAAAATGAGGAATATATTTCAGGAAGCCTGTTATGCAACTGAGTTTGATGCAAATTGCAATAAATCTATGTTATCTTATGCAATATGGCTGTAAAATTCTACATAAAAATAGACTTTGCAGTGTTACAATAAACTACCAAGTAATGTTAGTAGAAAGTACAATAAAGCTAATTTGCTAGATCTTATGCTACAGAGAGAGAAGCAATTTGGTCTAGTGATTAAGGCAACATGTTAGAAACCAGAAGATGCACCAAAGTCAGGTGACTTTGGGCCAGTCACTTCTCTCAGCCCAAGGACAGAAAAGCATTTCTGAAAAAAACCTTGTCAAAAAATCTGTAGGACTTGTCCAGGAAATTATCTGAGAATTAGTCATAATTGAATGGAAGAAAAAAAATGCTGCGGTAAAGCAAATGAAAGATCTAGCTAAAACCTCATAAGCAGAACCTTATTTTGTTTTTTATTTGTTTTAACCTAGCTTTTTATTTTTTTAATGTTTTTATATTTTATAATGTTGTTTTTTTATCGTGATTACGTATGAGCCCAGGGTGACTGTGTGAGGTTTGTGGCTATATAAATGTGATTAAATAAATAAATATAAATAAATAAATAAGAGTTATAGAATGAGAGCAAATGTCACACCTAAAGCTATTTGGATGCAAAGCTTGCCATACATTAAAATAAAATAAATTTAATTGCAGAACCCAGTTACAAATAATGCTGGTTTATCAAATAAGAACAAAGGGCTACAGGGTTTTGGACTTAGAAAACTGAAAAATTAATATCCACAATGTTGCTCCTTTCAATAAAGGATAAATGACTTCCAGTAGTTAAATACAAACCAACCTACTTTTACTAGTAGCATCTCTATCTAGGCAATTCCCAAAGGGAAGCAGCAAATAAAATCCAGAATTAGAGATAAGAAGATGTGAAATAACTAATAAAGGAATCAAGAGAAGCTGCTGCACTAGCGATGGGCCCAATCCATGGGAAAAAGTATAGTGTTAGCCAGCAGCACAGAAGGCATAGAAATGGAGAGAAGTTGCATGAGAAGCAAAGAAATCCTTGCACAAAAAAACATGGATTTTAACAGAGCTACTAAAGGGCGAGAAAGCCGTAGATTGTAAGCATTCTTTCAGAACAAAGTATGATGCTCATGAAATATGCAATACCATAAAGCTAGATTTAATAGTTAAGGAATACAGACAAGAGTAGGGCAAGGTTTATTATGTTTTTGCATTAGTAGTTAAGCATGCAAGTATTAGAATTCTAAGCTTAGAAGTATTTCAAATACTGCACAGGAAAAACTTAAAACAACCTTTGTGCATGGTGATCTGAAAAAGAAGATAGACCAATCACCAAATTTTGAACAGCCAAATAAAAATTGGTGTGCAAAAATCCACATGCAGGCTAAAGCTAGCAGCCAATCATGGTCTGATAAACCTAGTCAAATGTTGAAAACATGAACTTTGATTAAGGAAATCTGGTCCATATTTACATATGAGCCATGGAAAGATACATGCTCGGCATTACAAGACAAGATAGAAAGACTTGCACATGGATTAGAGAACAAACGAAAGTATACAATATCATTAAGAGAGTAAAAG